AGCTGACAGAGGTTTTGGCGAAACCCGTCTTTCATATCAAACAGAGCCGTCGAAAGGAGGTCCCAATCGACGACAATATGAATGAGAATATAAACGAGTAATTCAGTGATTGTTAAGAGGTTTTGATTGATTGGATTAATTGATGGCAAATGTCTTTGTGTAGAATCAGTGGCCAAATCGATAAGCGGTTAGTAATGGCGGCCAAAGGTATCGCTCGGACACTGAGTGGTGAAGAGGCGAAGAAGACTGAAAACGATTTGTTAAAACTCTTGAAACTGCAGATCATTGAAACCAATTACGCCAAAAGCGGACAAATTATGCCTAAAGACAAATTGGCGTCAGTTCTCAAGAGTTGATCCACTGTTTTGCACCCATTAATGATTTATTGTCTTATTTTTAGATCACTTTTGGGTGATATGAAAGTTCTTAAGGAGGAGCCGAGGGAGCAGTTCTTCACTCCAATCGTACCAATGAGTGAACAAAGATCTTATCAAACGAGAGGTGAATTTGAGTCGAGAGACAGCGGACAAGAGTTTCGACAAAAACGGAGACCATTTGATAGGAGAGAAAGTTTTGGAGACTTTGATGGACAGTCCGTTAGTCAGTCAATGCTAGAGCGTCGACCACCTCGTCAGCAAAGTATGTTCGCCGGCAGAGAACAACACAATCTGTTTGCCGGCGAGAGTATCGGTATATTCGAGGCCGACATGAAGGAAGCGACCGATGCGCCCAAACTGCAGATATGGGACGCTGAATACTTGCTACTCGAGGTCCTCAGCTAGCGTGTCTGCGGGTCTTTATACAAGCTTCTCTACTAAGTCACCTGGCTTCTCCCTTTCGACACCTCTAAGGGATAATTATTACTTGTCCCATACAGTCCGTTCACTCGCATATTATACTAGCAATTAATATACAGAATATTATGTATTAATTAAGTTCTTAATGATCGAAAGTTTGTTATTTAGAAAGTATTAGTGTTTTATTGAAATTATTTGATCCGAAAATCTATTTGATATGAAATGAAGGACTGGAAGCGGAGGAGAGCGTCCCCTTCTATGAACACGTACTGCTGGACCACCTACTGGATGGCTTTCCCGAGTCGGGTCCCATCCGAAAGTTCATGGAGTTAGTGATAATGGGTTTGTCGTCCAACCCGTACATCACTGTCGAGCGAAAACACGCGACCGTTCAGTACTATAAGCAGTACTTCGAGGAAAGGCATGAGTTATTAGAAACGGCTGGAGTTTTGGCCAATTCTTAACTGATATTTTAATTCATAATTTGCTTTATTTTGAGAGTAAAATGTTGTGCATTACAAATGTGTCGTCAATTTAAAAGTAATAAACAGTAAGTAAAATAAAAGTTGTTTTACTGTTTTGAATAGTATAATAGGCAGTGAAGTCTCTATTATTGGTATTTTCTATTGTATTTTATATATATTTATCCAATAAATTGTTTTCAAAAAATTTTCATTCTTTATTTCATTGATTTTGAAATGTTTGGTATAAAAGCAAAACAAAATTAGATTTGATTTGTTCATATCTCTCATATAGTTTCTACCCTTGATTTTATCGTTTGAATTACCGATTGTGTTGTGAGTTTTACATAAGTTTTTTGAAAACTTAAAATATAATTTTATTTTTAACACAAATTCGTGTGAATTTTAAAGTTTCAAAATATCGTATAAACCGAAAGAACCCAAAAAAGCTGTGTTTTTGAAAAAAAAAGTCGAAATTAAAAGTAATTTGTCTTAAAATTATAATCATATTGTAATAATCATAGTAATAATTAGCATAAAATTATGTGCAGTAATGAAAAGTAAAGTTAAGTGACCACCAAATCGTTGTTATTCTCGTATAATATTTATTTATTTCTTATCGCATTTTAATTGTTAATTAAATATTTTGTTTCATAACTTTTTGACTGCAAAAGAGTTGAGTGCAGAGTGTTGTGGTAGTGTGTTGTGTGTGGGGGGCACTGGTAGGCGAGACACGAGGTGTTACATGTGTCTGGTGTTGCCGAAGTTGATACCACTGGCGTTGGCGCCCTTATTCGTGCCGTACTGCAGATTTATGACACCCTCGCCGGCCCGCAACTGGTCTTCGGTGAAGTTTCTTCGGTTCTCGTCAGCGGGTTTGGGTCCCAGGAATGGTCCGGGCCATTCGGGGTGCAGATAGCACTGGTAGGCAAATAAATATACACATAATATGGCTTAGTAATAGGTATTTTGCTATATATATTCAGTAAGTGCAGTGATAGGGGGAAAGGGGGCTTACAGTGCGTCCCAAAGCACAGATGCTTTGCGTGACTTGTGGTATATTTCTTCGCTCGTAGAGATCTACTGTCTGGAAAACATCGATGTCTGGGACGCCGTAGTTTCGGATAGCGCTCTGAAATTTGTTGATATTCTCCATCATCTTGAACTGACCCCCAGTTGTGTTCACTTTTGTAATCGAGCCGGGCTTCAGTTTGTTCATCAGTCTGGTTGAGGCATATGTGGTACGGGATATTAGTTTGCATATAGTTGTCAATGAATTGGGTTAGTGGTGTCAGACCTGCAAAGGATGGTACCGTCGCGGAGGACATCTTCGAAAGAGCCGGCGGGCAGTCGTTCTCCGAGAACCGCTTCGACCCAACCCAACACTTCCGACTCGAGCTGTGGGTCTCGTTTACCGGCGATCTGTACCACAGGAATAATTTTATTCAATGTTTTTTATAAGGGTTTAGATGTCTAATTGAATTGAGTTAATGGCTAATGGTTTTGGATAATTTTTTTTATGTAGATATATCAAATTTTGTAAGAATTTAGGATTGATTTATATATTGGAAATTAATTTTGATTTTATTATGATTAGTTTTCTCAATGAAATATATACTGTATTCAGTAAAATAGCGTATTCTGTGGTGCGATAAACAAATGAATTATGAGTTAATGGTTTAGATGTTAAATAATTCGTAGAAATAATTGAGATTTTTGTCGACGTCTACACATTTTGGTAAACTTTAAGCTCTTTTAGCAGAGTTTTTGAAAATATTCTGTAATTTCTTACGCAATGAACGAAACTTGAAATTCTGGAACTTTCGCTGTATATTAGATGTAAATATTATTTTTAAGCTAAATATTTATAAACTAAATACTAGACTCAAGGTTTGTGTTGCTTAGGCTTAAAATCGCGTTATGGTTAACATATTCTGACAATATTCTCACTAATATTCCTTAATTAAAAGGTCATTACTAGCGTACAGATCCCGTAGCCATTGATATTCTAGGATATAATTACTTGAAATAATTGTGATTTTTTGGCAATTTTAAGAAAATTCTCGAAAGTATAAAAATCTGAGACACAAGTCATTCACCAAAAAAGAAGATCTAATTATAAGCTAAAGGCTAGACGTGTGGCAAACGACAGTAATGGCACTCTTTGATAGCGATATTTCTTTTCCTGTCTCTCCCTTATTGTGAGATATATTTTTGGGTTTATCTTCAATACGTGTATATATTCACTGAAATAATACACTAAAAATCTCTGTGAGTTTGAATTGACGTGAAAAGAAATTCTTGCAGATATATAGGGTGTCATTCATTGCACGACAACTTCTCGCTGATTGAAGTCATCCTCTCATGTCTCCAACAGCGAGAGTCTTAACATTGAGTGCGAAATATGAGTACATATTTGGTTATATAATACAGTGTTTTCTATAAATCCATATTAACATAATTAGTTAATCATAAGCAAATGGTTTGTCTCACGTTTTTTCGCACTTAAAGATTAACTATTGAGCACACATTCAAATAGACATAATCTCCTCTATAGGGCTATGTTTAGCCATACTGTATATGCTATCAATTGATGGGACGCTTCATAAGCACCAGTCGTTTGGTATGTTATATAGATTTGCATGCGTTTCAAGCATTTGCTGATAAGTCAAATGATTGGATGCAATGGATATAAAATAACTAAATATTAAAATATAGAGATTAATACGAAAATTGCAAAGTGTTGTATGAGGTGAACGGGATGTGACTTACTTTGTTGGCCACTTGAGCACTGAGACCATAGTTGGCTCCACGCGATGCCATTTGGATACGAGAATTGGTGCGAAAGAGTCGTTAGAAAAGAGATGTTTATATAAAAACCCAAAGACTTCTCTGCAAACTATGTGTTTGAACGGCACTAACAGTCAGACAACAGACCTCTCACTCCAAACCAGAAACTGCTCACAACTGAGAGATTCACTTCGGATGGAAAGGGATGTGTATTGGCGTTAATATCCAAAAATATCCACTTGTGATGGAGTGTGCGATGGCTGCGAAGTGTACGCCCAGTGATGCTGACGAGTGGCTTATATGAGGGCCGGGATTCGCATCGCTCGGCAATGGGCGATGCGATGACATCACCACTCGCTTCCATATGTGGCCCTAAAAACTCATAGACTGTCTATTCTGGAGACGAGAACTGGTATTACGTTTCCATTACATGACGAGTAGTCGAGACCAGAGTTTATTAACTGCAATATTACTCATTATACGAGTGCTTCTGCCCATTGCCGCCGACTTTTTGGATACCATACCCACCGATGTTCTCGAGATTTCTATATTTATGAATAAAATTGTCATTTATTTCTGTCATATATTCTCGAAGAGTTCGATAATATTCTGTAATATATTCTGTCACTCGCTTTGACTAACGATTCCGCTGAAGAGCCTGTCCTTCACTTTTCAATGTCGTTGTGTTAAAGGAGTTGTAGAGATAGGAGTTGTAAAAGGGATGCCATTTGGCCGCACCTGAACCGTAGGACTTGTGCACAGTTAGCAATGTATGTGCCGTTTGTGGCCATGTGTGGCACTACCACAACATTCTTGGCATATCTGTCACTCCGATTCATCACTCCGTCCCTAACATCATATCCAGAATGCGATTCATAAATACTTGTGAATACGAGAGCAGAATATTCTTGCAGTAGATATCATGAGATATTTATCGATCGATGCGATGAATCTGTTGATTATTTTTATTTCTTTGATTTATGGCTGAAATCATTAAAATTGCATTTGAATGCAAACTATGCCATCGAATCAAATAATTATAATATAAATATCTGATATGTATATAAATGCTATTTATAGCTCTAAATAATCAAAAATGTCAAATATTTTTACTTAATACTTATACGATAAATATATTAAACTTTGCAAATAAAAAGTTTGATAAGTTTATTTTTAATAATAAATTAATTACAAAATTATCAACAAAACTTATTTAATACAAGTATAAAATTTAATATCAATGTCAAAACCAAAAACCCTTTAAAACCTAAAAGTTTGCATTAAATTTGAAGATCAAATTTTTTGCTTATGAAAGTCATTTGTGGCTCGTTTTTAATTTCCCTAAATTTGTTTTTATTATCTTAAATGCATTTATAAGACATAAAAGCGTTTGCATGACATGACTACTACATTAACTATAGTTTGTTGCCTTAGATTACAGTATAATTTTGACACAATTTTCAAACTTCAAACAAATTGAATCATTTAAGAGATTATTATTCTGTTGAGAGCAGAATGTTATACAGAATTCTCGCGAACATTATAAACACATTACTAATTGATTTAAATTCAATGGTCGATGAGATAAGTTATTCAGATTTGACATTAAGATAGGGATTACAAAACATTGATTGCACTCCACATAGGAATCTCATGCAATACTGCATTAATATATTTGCTTAACAAAAAAGTGATTATGAATACAACAAGCATTTGTGGGTTAAAAATAAATCCTTTGTTTCATAAACTTTATGTAATCTTTTATACAATAAGTCAAAACTTATGATACATTGAGCTCTTATGCAATAATGTAATACGTTATCCAACTATAGCTGTAAAACGGAGTACAAAATGCAGATATTTTTTAACGAGAGAGAGAGAGAGAGAGAGAGAGAGAGAGAGACGATGCATAAACTGAATAAACTCGGCGTTTGATTGATGTAAAAAAGTTTAAAAATAATACAATTCTTAATACCGGTGTCTGTTATACGGGTGACAACTCAAGGCTTGCGTGCAATCCTTGAATAATCGCAAAAAACTTTAAGAATTATTTCAATTATTCTTTGCACTCATGAATTGTTTAATTAATTATTACTTAACTGTGTATTTATATAAATGAGTTTTCAATTTTAAGCTGATTTTTACATAATTTTTTTTATCTCTTAAATAGTTAGAATGACTTTATTATAAGACTCGGCAACTGTTTAATAAAAATCTGTATAATTATAATGCATTTCTGTCTCAGTTTAGGGTAATTTTAAGTCTTGATTCCGGAAAACATTGCAACCGATGATCATATCTCAAGAATTTATTTTTATTCTAATATACTATACGTTTATAAGACTTTATGTGAACGCTATATACAGAATATTCTGTAAAGTATATGAGTTCATCCATTTGTTGAACCTTTCGATTCGTGTGTAAGTCTCGTATAAATGAGAGCATTAAATACATAATAAATACAGAATTACTTATGTTTCAAATGCTGGTTCAGTAGACGTTTAGCTGAATAATCACATCTGAAACTCTTGTTTTTATCAGTAGTTCATTGGATGAACTGTATTATGATTTATACATTTCCTATGTTTGAGAAATCATTCATTTTCTTTACATAACGCCAAACACATCCTATTTATAGCCACGAAAACTGATTGTGTATTGGATTTTGTTTACAGCATTCGCGACAACAAAGTCGTCCCTTTATTCCGGTTATAAATTACACCTAAACTTAAAACTCGATTATATTTTCAACATAATTGCAATTCCTTTCGATTTCATTCATCGTTTGTAATAAATAAATAAAAATTTTCACAACAATTTTCATTCACTTACTGTGGAAATAATAATAAAATGTAATTAACGGATTGTTAGTTTATTGTTGTTTTAGTTAATATAATGTAATTAGTTGACTGTCACTGCATTCATTTTAGACATTTAAACAAATAAAATGATAATTTTATTAGTATTAGCAAATGTAAATATTTGTAAATATAGAGAATTGTTTTATAAATTATAATTTTGCAAAACAAATCTGGAAGTATAGTAGTTGTGATAAATGTTGTAATAAAGTAATTTTTGCTGATATTGTTTTTAATATTCCTACAATATTTTAATATAATATGTATTACAGAATTGTAGTAATCATTTATTCTAACTTATTTATTATCAGATTTTTATGTAAAAATATTTACTATTAATATTTATCTAATAAAAGGATTTATCAAATTATTGTTATTACAAACATTTTTGCGTGAATTTTTGCTCAATTATTCTCATAATAATATATTGTACATAACTTGAATTTAAGATATTAAATTATTATTGCACAATTGTGTAAATAATTACAATAAATTATATTTTTATTGTTATATAAATATTTAGTTAAATTATGTGCCTTTAATTGAGAAATCTTTAACAATTAGATAACTGACAGACATCTCACTCAACTAACTGTTAGTTTTAAGATTAGGATCACACAATAGCCTAGTTAACAAGATATGCTACATTTTAAACAATAAATATTTGCGAATATACTAATATTTGCTGAAATGTGTTAAAATGATAGACTATAATTTATTAGCTAAAGTAAAAAATGATTAAACAAAAAGAAAACATAGCATTCAAAATAACTTATTTTTTCAGTATCTTTGCAAAAAAATTTGCGGATTATTTTTAGTCCGTAGATATGTGTAACCCAGGCATCGATTTATTAGTTGTCGCTGTCATGGCTCGTATATTTGGCTAAAATATTTAGCATTTAATTTATTGGTCTAACAAAACAGTTGGCTTGAAATATACAAATTATTTTGCATGGAAAAGGCATCGGAAACAACTCCCAACACTTGACTATAATGTGCTTTTTATATAACTTATGCCTTTCCTGTCAATTGAATACAGAGTTTGCGAAAAGCATTTATACTGAGAGTTCATAATTTCGTAAAATAATAATCAAATGTTTGGAAAAACTTAATATTTAAATAAACTTAAATGACAACTCAATGTAATGTACCGTAATAGACGCCAAATGTATTACAGAATATTCTGCGAGTTTCTAATAAAAACTACTCTAACAATAGTATGAGAGGACATGTAGTTATGTTTAACACGAATTTTTATTTCGAAAAAATAACATTTCGTACTTTTTCTCATAGAAACTTACGTTACTGTCTCTCAACTCTTTATTTGCATAATTCTGGAGGAATATTAAGACATGATATTCTGTATGCGAGCTATTATTGGCACCAGACCCGCACCTGAACCACCACTTCGTATAGTCAGGAGTTCCGACCTAAGCCTTGGTTATAGACATGTGCTTGAGATCCAAAATTAGAGCAATTCTGATGTATTAGTGCAAGAATTATACAAAACAGACGATTAATAAATATCTTTTTAGTATTACAATGAATATAATTTTTAATTTTATAAATAAGTATTAATGATGGCCTAAGAATGTATGTGGTTCATTTTGTTTTCCAACACTTTAATTGGTCATAAATATTGAAGTTATTGTCGTGTTGTGTATGAAAAAGGTTTCGCACGAAGAATGCAATCAAAGAGACGTTAAAATCGTTTGACTCTTGTTTGCGATTCAAATGGTTTTCCAACTATTTTTAAATGAAGTAATCCTTGATTCCTGAGCACGACTTTCACGGAGCACTTTCGCCCACATGTTAGACCAAAATTGAGTGAATTTCAACGATGAAAGCCTTGAAAGCTATATTGAAATATAGTTTACATTTTTGTTATTAATTATAAATTAATGGATATTTAAAATTGGTTTAACCAGTGTGTTTAATGAAATATTATATATTTAAATAATGTATTTGTTTATTTGATACTATTTATTTGAGGCATTCATTAGCTTGTTAAGTTTCAATTTTAAATTCATTGCGTACAACAGATAAAAGTATTAAATAATTAAACATATTAGGTTTATTGTCTGGCAAACTATTCTTAAGTCTATTTAATTATTTTATCACACAATCCGATCATTTCTATAGAGAATATACTGAAGTTTTATGTGGTTTTGAAGAATATTCCTGAAATCTCTTATAAGAGATTATGTAAGAAAATACTTTTAAAGTGATTTATCGTATGCCTGAAGAATTGCTATAATTTTTGAAGCCTGTCTCCAAGTCAATGGCCAACCGCTCAACACATCCTAATCCACAAAAACAAAATCATTTATTTCGCTGTTTAATACCATTAAGTTTGGGACCGGGATTGTATTGTGTGCCCCACAAACGCCTACAACAAAAATAGTGAACCCGAAAAAAATAGTTGAATTGCAATAATCAACTAATAAGTTATATTTGAATGACATCTTAATTGACATTTAAAGCGGTGGTTAAATGCACTAAACACTCAGTCTCTCCGTCTAAACACATAAATAATAGGGAACTCACTATAAAAGGTTTGTCGGAGTCGGGAGCTCTGGGGATAAACTTATTTTGTTGCCAGTTTAATTTGTCTCAGACACTACGCTAAGACTTAATTGAATAGAAAGTGAAAAAAGATTTTTTGTATTTTGTTTTTTAAGACTCAATTTGTTATGCGTTCGGAATAATTGCTGGGAATTAAAACTTTTATATTTGTTTCAAAGTCGCCAACAAATGAGATTAAGTGACTTAGCAATGATATTTTAAATTTTAAAATTGTAATTCACATTAAGGGGATGTGTATGTACTAGAATATCAGAATATTCTGTGTAGTGACATGAATTTATATATATTTTTGTGGTGATTGTAATTTAAAATACGTTTAAATTCCAGATTATATTTTTTTAGACTCGCAGCCAAAATGCTTAACAATTATAAGGGGTTTGGCGTTTGATTATAAATAAATGGTTTTTCTATTTCAAGCATTTCAGACAATTCAGACCAAATAAAATCGTTTGCGATTTCTCCGTTGACTAATCGGATAAATATTTTTTTGTGCAAATAATCTGTTGTTTATTAATGACATGAATACCAGTGCAATGAATTGAAATGGATTTTAGTGTCGAAAAACACTTTTTTCAAAACTCATATTTGTTAACCTATTTATCACAAGAATTTTATTTTGCTTTTTCCGGGGTTTCTCTCCTAGAGTTGAAAATTCATAAAAAGTTGTTATTTTTAACAAAACATTTATAATAAAGTTTCTCTCTGTGTGTTAATTAACTCGAAGTTTTGCCCACAAAACGCATATTTTAGAGGTTTATAAACATAACTCAGTCTATAATTCATGTTTTACAGAAAAATTAAACAAAAAATTTACTCAAATTTAATGAAATAATTACATCTTAAATGAGACAAAACTTGGAAAATATTCTGAACACAAAAAAGTTTAACTGATTTTTCCTGAAGTCAATCAAGATTTGAGTTAATGATAAGAATATGTTTTAGTTATTATGTACTAAACATATGTAACTATAATATCATTTACTTTGAAAACTGAGATATGCTTTCAAACGAGGAAAACTTTTTTAAAAATCTTGTAATTGAATGCATATAAAAATATAAACTCCTTTACACTTTATATTTAATGTATAAATAGATTTTGTTTGGATCTGAATATCAATAAAAAAAATACAAATACTTTAAGAAACTATTTAGTCAAATGTCACACAAAAATGTCTCAAATTATAGGCACAAAAAGTTATGAATTATGGCATAAAATGAATGAATAAATAAAAGTAAAAAGTATAGCAAAACAGTAAAGAATTTGTTTGAATTCCACTTCAAGAATGTAATCCACAATTCAATTGTGAAATCTTTAAATTAAAAATGAATTTATTTTTATTGCAAACAATTTCTCTCTGTTAAGAGAGAGAGAGAGAGAGAGAGAGAGAGAGATCTCAAAAATGCATTTCATGTTTAATATAGAGTGGGAACGACTCAATCATCGCGTGTTTATCAGAAATGTCTCTGACTTTGAGAATATGATATAATTTATATTTAGCGAAGTTTTTTGGGCTCACATTTGTTGCTAATTGTTTCCAATTTAAGACTCACTTTAGGGCCACTGAATGCCAATTCCCTTAAGAATAAAGATTTGCTAACAAAACAAAAAATCATTTACTTTTTAATAGTTATTTATTTTTGTTTCCACACATATTCATGAATACATAGGATTTTTATTATCACAGTATTATAAAAATGTTATTACGGTTAATGCTTAAATATATTATGATATAAGAAAGTATTTCTAAAATCTGTCCATTTTATACTAAATAATTGATAAATATAACAATTAGTCGTTGGCTGTCATGACATCGGGAACTCCTTCGAGCCATTTGTGGCGCAGAATACCGGAGATGTCGATCCGATTCTTAGACGAGGGCTCAAGGGTTGCGTCGATCAGATCGAGAAGATCCTGGGAAATGTCTCTCAACGACTTATATTTCCTATCCATCATAAGGTCCACTATTTTCAGTAACTTCTTGTGGTCGTCATCTTTCTTAATATCGTACGGAAAGCGCTTCCCTATCATGTAATGCAGACTAACGCCCAGTGACCAGATGTCAGCCTTAATGGGGTTCAGGTCCTTGACTTTCCCGGTCTTTTCCAATCGTTTGCGTACTTTAGGACTGCTATTATTGACAAAGATCTCAACTTTGATCACTTGCGGTGACATAAACTGAAGAGTTCCGAAGGCCTCCCGATCTCTGGTATTAATAGTGTTATGTAAGACTCGACTCAACCCAAAATCTGTCAGTTTTAAGATCTTCTCATTGGTTTTGGTGACGAATATCAAGACGTTTTGTGGTTTGATGTCCCGGTGTGTCACACCTCGGCTATGGAGATACTCTATGGCTCTAACCATTTGCTTAAAATACTTCTTTGCCTTCTCTTCGGGAAAGCCGTCTTTAGTATCGTTGAGCTCACTGTCAACAGTGCCTCCGTTGGCGAACTCCATAAACAGATAGCAATACATATTAATCGCGAATTTGTCCACAAGTGAGACCACATTCTTGTGGCTGATCTGCGACATGATGGCCACCTCTGTTATAATGAATGTCATCTCTCGCTCTTCCACCTGACCGTCGATTCCTCTAAAGTTAATACACTTCATGGCGACAAATGTTTTGTCACTAATTCTGGTGATTTTGAACACTTCAGAGTGACCTCCGGATCCGATTTCAGTGCGGGACTCGTAGTCGTAGCCACACTCGCGAAACACGTCCTCATAATTGTTGAACTCATGGGACGGTATCTTATATTTGTTTACTCGTTGCCAATAAGTCTTCTGATCGATGGGAAGCGCTTCAATGGATTTGAGTTGCATTGCCTCCCATACCATTGCCAACAATTAAAACCAACAGAGAATTACAATTCATTGAATAACTTTTGTTTTATTGATAATTCTGTTTATATTTTGATCACAATTTGAAAAACAAGAGGAATTTCGGTGAAAAAATAAATTCTTTGAAACCAACTGAAAGTCCTATTCATAGTATCTATTGTGGACTCCAACTACGACTTCGGCGGCTTTTCCTTTTTGGACTGCCATTTGTTTGGTGACCCTTTCCTCCCTTTAGGATTTTCTGATACCTCCGGAAGTCTTGCATTTCTTGCACTTTCTTTCTCTCGCGATACTCACGACTCCTTCTCTTCCAATCTTCTCGTTGTAACCAATTCTCCAATTCTTCCAACTCTTCTTCAGTCAATATAAACGCCGATAAGCCGTCCGCTGGGCTTTCCGTAGTATCGTCAGCCGGTTTCGGGTCTTCCCCTCCGATATCCTGGTTCTGGTCCACCGGTGTCTCTGGTTCTGGTGGTGCCTCACCTTCTTGTGACTCTTGTTTTTGCAGATATCCTACGTATACGAGTGACACATCTCTCAACTTTTCCAACATATTCATGAAGTCAAACATGTCTTCGGATCTCTGTTGTGGCAACTGTTTAGCTAAGTGTCTTATAGACTGACTATTCGTTTAATTTTGAAAAAATCTTTTGAATTGACTTACTTTGATGTCTCTATGCGTTACACATACGCCAACAATGGATAAGAAAGCGCTAATTTATTATAATATTATTATATCATAATTGACTAATAAATGTCAAAACAATTACTGTAATAAATTTAGTATTTCATTGAACAGTGATTTTGGTTTTGCAAACAATTTCTATTTAAACTGTTGGCCCAAAAAAGGGATATTAATTTTATTTGTGATTATATTTTACCTTGAATATTGTCGACTCAAATCTTACATCAAATCAATTAGTGTACAAAATTCTTTATTTAATCCAACATTTCATAAAATATTTTATTATAGAAAACTTTCGCTCTAATGATGTGAAAGAAAGTTCAGTTCATAAGACCACAAAATTTCATTTCGTCCAATAGTTTGTGAATTATTTTGATATTCAATTTGTTTATTGAGTCATAATTGGGATTAAATTGGGATATTAGATCAAAATTTCTAATTTTATTATTAATTATAAATTTTTTTTGCATACAACTTTTGACACAATTGATTAAAACTCAAAAGATAAAGTGACAATTTACTATTATTATTATTCTCATAAATTATAAGTAGACAATTAAGATTTTACATATCATAAAAACATTACAATAAGTTATTTTTTGTAATATAATCTCTAAATAATAACTATTAATTATTCTTATACTTATCTATAAAATGCGATAGGTATAAAATGTGTAAAATCTATAAATTAAATGGCATGAATAATGGTACTGTTATTTTAAAATATTCCACTATAAATTATCTAATATTAAAATACATTTGTAACTATGGTAATTTTGAATTAATTATATTTGTTCAATATTATATATATATATTTTACTATCATAGTATACTCAATGACCACAATTTCCTATGAATTATTTATAAGTCTTTTATTATTTACAATATCTACAGTATACTGTATTTATATTATAATATTGAGTTTTAATATAAAACCTCTAACACTAAATCTAATTGCTAATGTAGTAATTAAAAATTCGCTTAACACTGAGCTCGGTCAATTTTTCCAAACGTATTGGATATACAAAATGACATGTGTGTTAAAAAATATGTCTAGACTAATACATTTGTCAATAAAATAAACACATAGACTATTGCTATTTGCATAATGATATTAAGGTATATAATATATTATATTTTATAAAACAAAGTTGTCAATAACATTTGCATAACAACTTGTTATTCAACAATTATACACTTAATCATGATTTCCAACAGTTATACTGTATATATAGCTGTCGCGGCATTACGATGCTATTATAATTTCTAGACAAGTGTACATTGGTTATTTGCAAATTTATCTGAAACATAATTTTAATTAAAATAGTTACAGCAACGCGATTTAATAGTGAAACTTTTTCGCATTGAGTTTGATATAAAAATTAACTTTGTGCAATAATTACTTATGATGCTAATATTACACTTATTACTACTAGTCTTAATCGTAATTATTACTATTATTAACTATTATTATTACTAGTAATTGTTTGCCACAGTATTCGTAGCGTATTATTAAATAAATAAATCTTTAATTTTAACTCAACAGCAGCTGATGGACGGCACGAATGGCACAATTGATTCGCGTCTTCAGGTTTGAGACATACCTTTCATTTAACACTCATTTCCCCAATTGGTTGTATTGGTGCGCACAGAATGCCGTTCCCTACCGGTACTCTTCATATTGACTGAATGTCTAATTAAATGAATTGTCTATTCAGGGGGTCGACGGACTAAGACATTCTTTGGCCAGGGATGTCAGGCAAACCTGCGCGGGTAGCCCGGGTGCCGCAGGTGGCCCGGGAAGCGTAGGTGGTCCGGGTAGCGTAGGTGGCCCGGGTGTCGCAGGTGGTCCGGGTGGCAATGGTGGCGATGGTACCCCGGGTAGCCCGGGTGGCGCAGGTGGCCCGGGTTGCGTGGGTGGTCCGGGTGGTGCTGGTGGTCCCGGTGGCGCGGGTGGCCCGGGTGGCGCAGG